ACAAGCCCTCACTCAAAAAAAAGGGCAAGACTTAGGCCAAAGTTAAGACCCAGTAGAAACGTGGTGGCATCACAGAATTCACATCGGAAGAGACCTCCTCGGAGCCAGCCGGGCACCCTCCTCTCACACCTACGGGAGCTGAATTCAGAGGGGGCCCGGATGGAACTTTTCTTCTCTAACCAAGCACCCTTCCCATTATATTTCATCACCAATGGCCGACAGAACACTTTGAGTCTCATTAGTTTCTTTTTTGTTAACCCATATGCAAGATTAGATTTACGGACCTCTTTATGTCTGTGTCCACCTTCCGTACGTCACGCCTGGAAATTTGCAAGAAGTCTCTGCGTAGGGAAGTGTGTTGAGAAGGATTCTGAGGCTGCTTCCAGGCTTGTAGGAAGGAATAGTGATTTTGATTAACACCGTCTGCCGAGAGGACAGGGGACACGTATAGGTAGAGAGTGACAGCGTGTGCACCTCTTATCTGCCATCCCAGGCTTGGGGGATCACTGGAGTGAGCACATGATTATTACTCATATGAGACCCTTTCCGACTCTGAGAGTCTGGCGTGAAAAATCCTTGTCAGAAACCGCTGCCTCAAGTTCCAGCCACCGGAAACGCTCTTTTGGTGGTTGTTTCCAGAAAGCCCTCTGCTTATATGCAGGTAGATTCCATGCATGAGCAGTTTGGCATTTTACCCCCTGCCCTCTTCCTGGGCTAATCAGTACCAGCTCAGGCCAACCGCGTGGGACCGGAGACAGGTACCTGTGATCAGAGGGACACAGGAGTTAACTTTCCAGCCTCCCCCACATAGTTTGGGAGTTCTGAGTTTGGTTGAGGACAGGGCAGAGTGGGGGGAGGATGAGGAGGAAGGCAAGGCCGCCACCAGGGTGCCCGTGTCCCCTGGGCTTCGGGAGGTCCGAGGGAGCTGGGGCCTAGGACCCAGGTGCGGGCAGTCTCTCATCCGTGCTCCTCGCCCTGCCTGGCTCTGTGCAGATGGGAGGCATGGAGGCCGTCATCACAGGCCTGGCGGACGACTTCCAGGTCCTGAAGAGACACCGGAAACTCTTCACATTTGGTGTCACCTTTGGAACCTTCCTTCTGGCCCTGTTCTGCATAACCAAGGTGAGGAGGGGCTGGGCCCTGGGTCACTTGGAGCTCGGGCGGCTGCATTTCAATCCAGTCGGGCATCCCCAGCCTTGGAGCTGGGGTGGGGAGGGCCAGGGTGAGCTCAGTGGGGAAGGGAGGCGGGACCTCAGCCCTTCAGCCCGATCCCCTGGGGCTAACCCCCCAGTGTCCTCCCGCCTCTGAGCCTGAAGAATTCCAGGCGACTCTTTCAACTGCTTGTTTGTGTGAGGGGCAGCCAAAGTCCCTGTGAAAGCCCTGTCACATTTGCTGGCTGAAATACCCACCCTCAGGCCCAGGGACTACAGAAGACCTTCAGTAGAAAGCAAATAGGCAACATGGAGACAGTAGAACCACAAACAACCCTGTCACCTGCCTCCTCAAACAGGGTTCTGAGCCAGCGGGGCAGGGGGCAGGTGAGTTGGGGTGGATGCGACGGTCAGTGGGCCATTTCTGGCCGGGATGGCCTCAGGCTTTGTCTCTCCGTGCCCAGGGCGGGATATACGTGCTGACCCTGCTGGACACCTTTGCGGCGGGGACCTCCATTCTGTTTGCCGTGCTCATGGAAGCCATCGGAGTCTCCTGGTTTTATGGTATGAGCAGGGCCCTGGAAAAGCCTCACCCCCACCCGCAGAGGCAAAGGGGCTCTGCTTTTCCAGCACGGCCACGGCCTGATTCCAGAGTCGAGCAAGTAGCTTGTCAGGGAATAGGTCTGCCAGCCCCCAGCTCATCTTTGCATGAATTCCTTTTAACGGAAAGGAAAGCCCCCCAGGGGCACCCAGTGCCAGCTTTTAGCAAGGGACTCAGGGAGCTGCTGATCCCCAAGCCGTGCAATTCGTTCTAGAGTGAGATCGCCGCGTTTAGCGAACAGAATACAAGACGCCCAGTTAAACTTGAATTTCAGATAAGCAATGAGTAATTGGTAATTGATTTACTGTTAAGTATGTCCCAAATATTGCATGGGATGGAGTTAAACCAAAATCTCTTCCGTTATCTTTCTGAAATTCAGATATAACCGAGTGTCTTACTGTTTCTCTGATGACCTTATTCTGGAGCTGAATGGGGAGAAAGCGTTACAAACTGTCAAATGTGTTCTGTTTTCTTTTTTTCCCACGTGTCGCATCAAAGAGTTAATTCACGTGAGTCTGGACTCTTTCATCACTGTTTTTTTTTTTTTTTTTAATGTTTACTTTTGAGAGAGAGAGAGAGAGAGAGACAGACAGAGTGTGGACGGGGGAGGGGAAGAGAGAGAGGAAGACACAGAATCCGAAGCAGGTTCCAGGCTCCCAGCTGTCAGCATGGAGCCCGACGCGGGGCTCGAACCGTGAGATCATGACCTGAGCCGAAGTTGGAAGCTTAACCGACAGAGCCACCCAGGCGCCCCCATCATCACTGTTCTAAAAGACAGGGAACAGAGCAAAGTGGCAGGCTTGGGAGCCAGGCCGCCCTGGCTGTGTTACCTGGAGCAAGTCCCCTCTGCTCCCGGAGCACTGTGTTCCCCCTGAAAAACAAATCAGAATGGCACATAAAAGGTGATACTGTTTTTCTTAACTTTTTAACTGCAATACAGTCAACACAGAGTGTTACATTAGTTTCAGGTGCAAGGCATCGTGATTGGACACCCCTGTCCATTACTCAGTGCTCCCCAGGAGAAGTACAGTCACCATCTGTCACCAAACAATGGCACTACAGTACTGTTCATTATCTTCCCTGCGTTCATGACTGACTTATTTTCTAACTGGAAGTTTGAACCTCTTAATCCCTTCTGTCTGTGTCTTGTATCCCTTTCCCGCCTGGCTCCCCTCCAGCAACCACCAGTGTATTCGAGAGTGTGTGTGTTTTTTTCTTTGTTTCTTTTTTACTTTGTTCCTTTGGTTTGTGTTTTAGATTCCACATAGAAGTGAAGTCATATGGCCTTTGTGTCTCTGTGACGGACATGGTGACCTCTAGGTCCGTCCGTGTTGTCACAAATGGCACTTGCTGGGTGTCTCTTCTTCCCTGTTCTTCGCCAGCCACTGCCGGCGCCCAGGGCTCCTAAGTGCCAGCGTGTCCGAGCCTTGCCCCGCTGCCCCCTGGGCAGCCTGACTCTCAGGGGAGGGCAGCAGGGGGCGGCCCAGCGCTCCCCAGGGACCGGTGTAACAGCCTGCCCTGTGTGTGCACAGGTGTGGACAGGTTCAGCAACGACATCCAGCAGATGATGGGGTTCAAGCCAGGCCTGTACTGGAGACTGTGCTGGAAGTTCGTGAGCCCCGCCTTCCTCCTGGTGCGTACCGTGTGGCCCGGCCTTCCTGGGGAGAGGGGGCTGTGTCTGGGCTGGGGGGGTGGGGCGCGGGGATCTTTGCTTTGCGGGTGGAGGTTCTGGGGAGCAGAGCCCAGGTTATGCAGACGGGACAATCAGGACACTTCAGCCCCGCCGTGGCACCACCACTCGGCCCAGCTCCAGGGTCACCTTGCCACTCCTTTTCTCTGTTTCTGGCTCCCTTTGTCCCCTTTGGTCATCATTTGCTTGCTGAATGAATTCTTCCTCCTTCTCTACCTCCTTTCTCTTTTTCTCTTTCTTTCTTGTCTCCGTCCCCTGGCCCCTCACTTCCCACGGATCTTCCACTGCCTCTCTCCCACCCGCTTCCTCTGTCCTCTCCCCGTGGCTCTCCGTCCTGCTCTGTCTTCACATCCCTCCTCTTGTCCCTTCCCACTGCCCGGTGTCCCGCAGTTTGTGGTGGTGATGAGTGTCGTCAACTTCAAGCCACTCACCTACGATGACTACATCTTCCCGCTCTGGGCCAACTGGGTTGGATGGGGCATCGCGCTGTCCTCCATGGTCCTGGTGCCTGCCTACAGCATCTACAAGTTCTTCAGCACGCGGGGCTCCCTTCGGGAGGTAAGCTTGGGGCCGCCAGGCGGTGCGGGGGACAGGACGGGAGGGATGTCCCCGGTCATCCCCGATGCGACGGGAGAGGACGGACACGAGGACACGGACCCCAGAGCCGCCACCATGGCCAGGTCGTTTTCCGCCCCCCGCCCCCAGTTTCCACACTGGTACCCTGGGGATAGTGCTATGGATCTTGAGAAGACAGAGGAAGCGCTCAGCACAGTGCCGGGCACAGAGGACACGTTCAAGGCTTGCTGCCGACTGTTCTGTCTGTGTCGGGTGCACACGTGCTCTGACTGCAGTCAGTCCCTACCGATGTTTATGTGAGGAGGTGACACTCAGGTCTGTCGTGTCCCAGATGCCCCCACTCTCCCAGTCTGAGCTCACTGTGATCTGGTCATCGAAGCTTTTACCTGCCTCCTTCCTGAACCCGACACCTTCCTCTCTTACTTGTACGCGTTGTGTGTGCATGTGCACGGAGAAAGGTTGAGGGAACGGTGCCCTCACTCTGAAATTATGTCTGTCCTATTTTGTTGATAGGCCTTTTCTTTCATAAATAATGGTGACGGTCTTTTCCTAATGTCCTTACTTCGGAAGATGAAGTTTCATTCCTTCATCCCTTCATGCCCTGACTTTCCAGCTATTTGGTGTGAGTCTACAAGGCCCCAGCAGTCCGCTGGGCACCAGATGAAACTCCCCAGAGCTCACATTCTAATGAGGGGGACAGACAGACAAATGAGGGCATCAGGAAGCGGGCCACACAAGGGCTGGGGGAAGAGGGTCCCAGGCCGGGCTTGTCTGTCCCCTCCCCCGGCTCCTTGTGACATGTTTCCTGTCCTTGAAATCCCACATCCAGGAGCCTCCGGGTCACCGGGAGGGTCTGTGCTCGGTCAGCGCATCCTGGGCCTGAGAACCACGATCTGCTTTGCGCTTTTTATTTGTCACACTGTGGGAGCAGGGAGGGCGTCCCACCTTGCAGGGATCAGTCATTGATCCAGATGCCTTCCCGAGTCCCCGCCCTGTGTCTGCACCCCAGGGAGGGCCTGCCCTGATCCCCAGCAACACTACTCCATCTTCTGGGCCCTCGTTGTGCTCCGAGCCTGTCCTCTGCAACACTTCAGCTGTGGTTTCAAAATTGCCCCTGTGCGTGTGTGTTCCCCAAAGCACACACCGTGTGCGTCTCCTTGAGCTCTGCAGCCGCAGGGCCTCACCTCGTGTCTGACCACAGTAGTTGACCCCATAAACACAGACTAGACCAATGAGTCCGCGTGAACCGACCCGGGCCACAAACAAAGACAGCGTGTCTTGTGTGGACCTCACACGCTGTCCTTGTGGGACTTCAGGGCCAGATAGCAGGTGGCCTGTGTCTGGGCTGCCGGGAGGTGCCCCTGGGCCCGGCTGAGGCCTCCTCCCCTCCCCGTCTTCTCACAGAGGCTGGCCTATGGCATCACCCCGGAAAACGAGCATCACCTGGTGGCCCAGAGGGATGTCAGGCAGTTCCAAGTAGGTGCAGGCCGGACCGCTCTGGGCGGGAGGCCGGACCGTTCCGGGCGGGGGGCCCTAGCTGCCCCCCACTGTATGCTGGCTGCACATACCACATGCTACAAAACCCTGAGCAGCTGTGGGGCTATCGTCCCGGGGGTGTGGTGTCAGGAATGGCGGAGAGGGGCCTGTCCCCTGCTTCTACTAGCTTCCAGCTGCCCCTCCGCTCCTTGGTCCTGGGAAACCACACGTCCAGTCTTTCCGAAGCTTAATTTCCTCTCTGTAAGTTGTCACCCTAGGCTGGGGATCTCTTACCTCGCAGGATGAGCCACAGGATGACCTAAGTCCTTTAACTTTAAAACCCTGGGGGTTGGGGGCTGGGGGAGGGTCCTGGTGAGCCCCCTGCTTCAGACTTGCTGTGCCACTTTGCGAGGCTTCCTCGCCCTTTCTGGGCCCAAGTGACGGTTAGGGAGTCAGCCTGCACGTTCTCTGGGGTCTTTGGAGGGAGGGGCTGTGTTCTCTGCCTCCCCGTGCTTCCGCTGTCCTTCTGGGCCCCGGGTCCTCTTGTCCCCACCCGCCTCTGGCCTTGGCATCACGACCCTGCCATCTTCCTCTGCAGCTGCAGCACTGGCTGGCCATCTGAGCCCCAAGGAGGGACCCTGCCGTGCCGACGCCCAGGTCCAAGGCTTTGCTGCCACCCCGGACACAGTCTTGGGACTCCTCTCCCAAAAGATGTTCTCTCCATCCCTACCCCTCTTTCCCCAGTTACAAATGATTTAGTGACCTCGTTTTTATTCACCTTCTGTTCATCTGGCCCGGAGGCTTTGAGCTTGGATTGGAAAGTCTGGAGGGGGAGGAGGAGGGGAGGGAACAGGAAAAGTGACTTCCATCGAGCCCCTTTTGCTTTGGGAAAGCCTCACCCACCCTGGGATCTGGCCCAAGCTGAGCTCCATCCACGGCTCGGGCAGAATTCACCACTACCTTTGCTGTGCTTTGGGGCCACAGGAGAAATCCCGCCCGCCAAATCAGAGAGAGGATGTCGCTTTTGGCCAGATACCATAAAACCGAACACAAACAAAAAGGCCGGCTGCGTCTGGGGCAGGGGATCCTCTCTCTCTCTTGCCACCCAGTCAGCATTCTGGTGTCTGAACCTTGATCAGGGAGCGTGGCTTGGTTTGTTCCGGTCATCAGTCTGGATAGATGCTTTGGAGGCTTGTGAGAAGAATCCTTCATGGTTAGTTTTCACTCTGGCTAAGCTGAATCTGATTTGTGCGTGTTCTGGAACATTCTTCCAGCTTCTGGTGGTCAGAGGGTCCAGAGCCATGGATGTCACGAGGCAAAATGTAGATGAGCCGCAGTGAGGAGGTTTTGCAGAAGTACCAGAGGAGCTCATAGAGGCCACGTGCAGGGCTTGGTCTGTCGGGCACATGGGGCCCAGAAACCCATCTGTGGCTTCTGAGATCTTTCTGGGGGACTTGGGACAGGAACCCAGCGAGGCCAGAAGTGTGTCTGTACTACAGAATTCTCTGCCGTCCTCACAGGGACAGGTGGATGCCCAAGGGCATCCTGATAGGCTGTTTATCTGTTGTCCGCAGACACCTGCAAAGGTCTTCCCTGGGAATCCCACCCAGCAAGGACCAGGGCTCTCAAGTGGTGGGGAGTTGGCCCTGAAAACTCCCTTTGTCTCTCCTGATGGTCTTAACTTGGCATCTGAGGGCATGGTGGAGCCAAGCAGATAGCAACCTGGTCATTCAAGTCGAGGGGAAAATATTCTGAGCTGATGGAGCAGGATGATGGTTTTAGAGAATTTGCAGGTTGACTTCTGATACACATTTGCAAGTGGCGCCCTCTGGTGGTGGTGATGGTGGTGCGTTTCAGCTCATTCAGAGAACAGATTTGTAGTTTGGGAAGTTGGTGGCATCTATTTGGGGTTTATGTTTATGGTTTGAGTCTCTTATGCCTTCCTTGGAAATCTAGATTCAGAGGTTCTTGTTGTGACTGAGGAAGCCCCTATTGAGGAATCTTGGGCCATAAATAAATAAATAAATAAATAAAGAGGCTGCTCATACTGGGAGTGTAGGAAGACTCACATCCAGAAGGTACTTTGCATAAGACTGGGGTGTCCCTGAGCCCGATCAATCAATCATGCAGTTTGTGGAAGAGGGTTGTGTTGGGGGCGGGGGGAGTGGTGGGGCAGGGAGGTGGTCTTCTCTCTGAAGGTCCTGAGATTTCCCTGCTAAGTCAGTGTCCTTGGGTCACTTTTTGGAGAAAAGTGGGAGAATCAGAAGACTTCTGATATTTTTATGTAAAAAGGCCAGTTCAAAGGCTAAGCCCAAGTGGCAGGTGTCTTGGACTGCTGTGGAAGGCGGGGCCTGAGGGCATCCAACGGAGCTGAACAATAAGGTGGGGGCGAGGGAGATGAGGGAAGGGCGACCCATCACAGGTAGGATCTGGTCCCATAAGCGACTTCAAATCCTCCCGTGAAGAGTAACTCCTCCCTAGGTGTTCTAGTCGTTTTACACAAAGTCCCTTCATCCCCGTCACCTCCCATCTTCCCAGCAAGGATTGCAGGGCTGGTTTCTGTCCCAGTTCCCAGGTGGGAACACCAAGGCTCAGTATTTCGGCCGCTCTTGTTCAAGTTTTCTCAGCTCGTAAGGGATCCAGTCAGACCCTCAAGTCGGATCCCGTGCCTCTTAGCCCAGAGCACTTTGAAATCCCCAGCACACTGTGGTTTACCCCACCCAGGGCCGTCGTTAAAAAATAAACAAAACCCAGTCAAGTGGCCAGGGAGTGTTTCTTAGCAAAAGAGCAATGTATTGGAAGAAGGGAAGAGGGGAGAGAGCGTCACTTGTTTACAGCTGTCCCCTTTTTGATGGACTCAGTCACGCTGGGGAACAGCGGGGCACGAACCTGCAGTTTTCTCTTTCCATCTGCATGTGGCCCTTCTGCCTCCAGACATCTGTCCCGAGGGTGAATCAGAGATGCGGTGCTAGCTGACCCAACACCAAACCAACGCCATGGTGCTGCCTTGTTTTGGGAGTCGGCTCCTGAGCTTGGGGTGAGGGGGGTCCGGCCCCGAGCCCGAGCCCCCCGGGGGGGGGGATGGGGGCCCCAGGAAGCCCTTGGAAGTTCTCATGGAGGTGCTGGCAGGCCTTCTGGGCTCACCTTCCACCCACACTTAACGGAGGAGGAGTATGTGCTTTATCCTGAGTAACGTTTGACTTCTTTTTTGTGGCCTTTTTTTGATAGCAGAGGTTACCCGAGATAAGGGTGTTCCTGTGTACTGTATATGACACTTTTGCTATTTTACCGGGTTTTTAAAGAATTATTATTTTCCATGAAACGTAAACTCTCCGTTTAAGACCATCGCCTTCACATCTACTGGATGTCTAGTCGTTTCGCGACCACCCGTCAGTGGATCGTCATTCTAGATGCAGATGAGACAAAGGAGAAAGGAGCCGCCAACTCTTGCCAATATCCTGCCGAGTAAAGGTCCCCAAAGCTGCCTTAATTCTCAGAGGGCGCCCCTGCCCGGTGGGGGGGAGGCTGTCTCTGGCCGTATGATCCATATGGCGGCCCTGGTGATGTGAGACCGAAGCACTCTTACCAAAGACGTCATTTCCTAGCAAAGAAGCCCACGGAGCTCATTTCGTATGTATACTTCCTTTGAAAGCCATGGGATGGAGAACAGAGAGGAAGCGCGTAGAAACAGCACAGTTTTCAGAGTCTGCAGGGATCTGGGTCTACCGCTGCCCAGCGGGGTTCCTAGGGAGGAGGGGTCTCTTCATCTCTCTGGGCTTCGGCTTCTTTGTCTGTAAAAGCAAGGGTCAGATCAGATCATCAAAGGTCCCATCCAGTTAAAAAAAATGTTCCGGTCTCCACGACAACGTACTTGTGCTAAATTTACAACGAGGGAAGCACCTCGCTGGCTGTGAGTCCTTCCAGAATGATCTGGTGGCCAATAACCTACTGAGTAGAGAAATGTCAGGTTTCTGGCCTCCAGAACTTTGATTTTTCTGGACATTCAGTAGTTCCTCCTTCTCCAGTATTTCTTCCACTGGTGCCAGAAACACTTGGTATTTAAAAATAAATAAATAAATCCAACCCATTTGTGCTCAAGATCTTGAGGGTAACATGTGAGGCCCCGGTGAGTCCCAGGATCCATAGCTGTGTGGGTATCAGCATATTTATTGCCGCCACGTCAGAAACCACCAAAACACTGGTGAACGTGAAGTTGCTTTTGGGGTACCCGCCCTCAGCCCTCTGTTTCTCCACTTCTGTGTAAATAAGGATTGTCCCAGTGGTGCCCTCCCTGTGTCACGGACTGTTCCCATGTCATGCAGGTGTCTGTGTCTGGTGTGGATTTATTTTAAAAGCTGTTCTCTTCATGGAAAAATCAGTGTACAGAATAATAAAGGAGATTTCCTGTGCCGTGTGTCTAGTGGTGGGTTCTCTCGGTCACGAAGGTAAAATGCTATGAATTATGTAAGGCAGATGGGAGTGTCTGCGATCAGCCTCCAGCTAGTAAGGAAGAGCTTCTGGTCAGAGTGGTCCACTTTTCACCCAAATAACTCTTTTTATAACCCATGGAACAGGAGACTGGAGGGGGTTAAATATGTAATCCCAGCTCTGAGATTGACACGTGTGTTTATTTTTTTTGATTGATTGAAATTCAAGCCACTAACGTAGTTACATTGTTTTTATTTTTTTTTTAATGTTTATTTATTTTGGAGAGAGAGATAGAGCACATGAGAGTTGGGGGGGGCAGAGAGAGTGAGGGACAGGAGATCCAAAGCGGGCTCTGTGCTGACAGGCTGACAGCAGGAAGCCCAATGAGGGGCTCAAAGTCATGAACCATGAGATCATGGCCTGAGCCAAAGTTGAACACTTAACCAAATGAGCCACCCAGGAGCCTCCATTGGTTTTATTTCTTAAGACATATTTTTAATGAATAACTCTGTGTCCAAGTGACACAGAGTTACCTAGTTTTGCATTCCATTTCTAGGGCTGAATTCGATTGAATTCAATGCACAATCTATTATTACACTTTCCTGGGGAGAAGGATACATTAACGCGTAGGTCCTCATTGCTAAGTACTGTCATTATTGGGGAAGGTGTGAGCTCACATTATGATTTTCAATGCAAGTCAACAAGCAGACACAGTGACATCAATATAAATGAGGTATTGACAAAAAAAAAAAAAAATCCAGTCTATGTCTTTAAATATGTAAAAGGCAGTCAGGGATGGGTGGTAAACAACTTACAAGAAGATTAGACCAGAACGGAGAATGGGCTGTTGCTGGAAGTGGTGAGCTCCCCATCACTGGAGACATGCAAGCAGGCAATGTCTCTTGGGTAGGTTATGGAGGGGACTCGGTGTCACATAGGGGCGGGGGAGAGAGGGTGCACAAACTCTAAAGGCCCCTCCGTGGAGCTTCTTTTAGGAGAATCACGAGCCCAACCTCACGCAGCGGCGGTAGGACAGGTAAACACACATACCAAGGGTCTTGAGGTGAGGACTGGTTTGCCCTGTTGAATTGCAGCTGGGCGGACATCCCAGGGAGGGTTTTATGATTCTGACCATTTGGTTTTGACTCCAAAATCAGAGTTGGGGTTTATTATAGTGAATCAAACAAAAGGCAG